AAAAAAGAACGTTGTAATAAAAAGAAACAAACAAACCAACAAAAAGAAAGAAAGAAACAAACAAACAAATAATGGTTGGAATAAAATGAAAGAAAAAGATCGAATCTTCGACATAAAAACAAGAAACAAATAAAGTAAGAAAGAAAGAAAGAAAAAAAGAAAGAAAGAAAGAAAGAAAGAAAGAATAAATAAAAAACCTGATAAGGAAGATGGATGAAAAGTCTAAAAGCAAGAAAGATTAAAAGAAAGAAAGAATTAAAATGGAAGAAAGAGACACTGCTTTATAGATAATCAGAACAGATAATTTAACAATATGAACAGTGGGTGTGCTTGTTTGTATGCGTGTGTATGTGTATAGAAGTGCTTGTGTATGTGTCTATTTTGTGTACGTGCGGTACAAGAATGAAACAGCTTTTTGAATATGTCATTCAAAAATATATTTTCTTATTTCGTCGTGGGAAAAATAGTTGAAATTTGTTTCTGTCTGGGAGTTTAAGACATTTTTTTTTCTTAGATTTCAAACATATTCCCTCCGCAGTTTTGCAAAATCGTAATTTAAAAATGGAAGACAGAAAAAAAAAAAAGAAAATATAATTTAAAAAATATTTCCTTCATTTTTCATGCAGTCAAATAGGAAAAATTCCCCTCTCCCTATCGCACCGAAAGTAAGAAAGTCAAAAAATTGTAAATATTTTACTGTGACGAATCATAAAGGGGAATTACGGGGTGGGGATATTCAAGAAGAAAAAAAGAAAAGAAAGAAAGACAGAAAGAAAGAAATGGGTGGAGTTGAAGTGAAAGACTTAGGTTATTAAGGGGCTCAATGCGACTGGAGTTAAACCAGATGGTAGGTATCGGGTGGGTTGGCAGAAATTTGGGGCAACCTGCGCACTTGTCACTTGTCGTATTTGGTGCCTCATTAACGTAATCAGTGGTCGCTAATTGCCCGTTGGTGTCAACTATTGGTGGTTCGGGGAGAAGCGTGAAAAAGATTTAAGACATTAGACATGATAACAAAGAAAGAAGAAAAATGAAAGGAAGAAGAAGAGGAGGAGAAAGAAAGGGAGAAGGAGAAAGAGCAAGATGGCGAGGAAGTGGTTTTTAATGAAAGAAGAAAAAGGAGAAGGAAGATGTAGTTTCAATGAAAGAAAACAGAGAAGAAAGTGATAGTGATAGAATGAGGATAACAAGACGCGAAAGAAGAAGAAGAAGAAGAAGAAGAAGAAGAGAGAGAGAGAGAGAGAGAGAGAGAGAGAGGACTGTACCAAGAAGAAAAATGAAAATAAAAGACAGAATCAAAAAAGGGGTGATGAGGTAAAAAAAAAAGAATGGAAAGAATTAAGCAAACAATGTAGGTGACAAAGAAGAAGACAAAAATGTGTACTTGAGTCAAAATGTCTAAAGAGGGGCATGTAAGAGAGAGAGAGAGAGAGAGAAAGAAAGAAAGAAAGAAAGAAAGAAAGGAGCGATAGGATGAGAAGTAAATAAAGTGTGCTCTGAAGAAGAAGAAGAAGAAGAAGAAGAAGAAGAAGAAGAAGAAGAAGAAGAAGAAGAAGAAGAAAGAAAAGAAAGAAAGAAATGACACAGGATATATAGCGGAATTGAAAAAAAGAAGGGTCAAGAAGACAAAAGAAAAAAGTTTCAAGAATATGGAAAAGCGAGAGAGAGAGAAAGAGAGAGAGAGAGAGAGAGAGACACGAGAAGGAAAGAAGAAGAAGGAGAAGAAGAAGAAGACAAATGAAAACCAAGGGTGTACTAGAGAGAAAATGTATAAAGAAGACGAAAAAGCAAGAGAGAGAGAGAGAGAGAAGAACAAATAAGACACGAGAAGAAGAAGAAGAAGAAGAAGAAGAAGAAGAAGAAGAAAAAGGGTCAAGAAGACATGAAAAAGAAGGGTGTACTTGAGAGAAAAAGTTTAAAGAATATGGAAAAGCAAGAGAGAGAGAAATAAAGAAGAAGAAGAAGAAGAAGAAGAAGAAGAAGAAGAAGAAGAAGAAGAAGACAAATGAAAAAGAAGGGTGTACTTGAGAGAAAATGTCTAAAGAAGACGGAAATGCAAGAGAGAGGGAGGGAGAGAGAGAAATAAAGAATAAGACATGAGAAAGAAAGAAAGAAAGAAAGAAAGAAAGAAAGAAAGAAAGAAAGAAAGGCCAGCAAACCTAAAGCAGAATTTAAGAAGAATGACTGACGACGAGTGCAACATTCAAACTCCAATTAGTTGCCTATTTGATAAAGGCCTGTCACCATCTTAGTGGTTGGTAGGAAGGTTTCCTTGCATACGGGTGTGTCGCAGTCATCGGGCGACGTCTTGCTTAACTACATAATAGGGAGAAAGACATCAGTCTCTGATGGCAAAGTTGTAATGACGGCTATTGTGCTGATTAGTGGGTAAGGGAATAAGGTGGGGGGGTCATAAATGTTTTCCGGGTTTTCTAAAAGTTGTCGGGTTGGGAATTTAAAAATATAAATAGCTGAACTGAAGAAGGAAAATGTATTTTTTGTTTTTTGTTTGTTTTGTTTTCTTTTTGCGTCAGACCTCGGAAATTTTTTTTATTTCTTCTTTTTGTTTTGTTTTTGTTATTGTTTTGTTCGGTGGATTTCTTCCTTCCTTTCATTCATTCATTCATTCATTGTTTCTTCTTTTGTAGCGATACAAAGATTTATTTCTTTGAGTAACAATATAAATATTTTTCTTTCTTTAGTTATTTCTTTGACTTTCATTCTTTTACAAATCACACAAAAATATCGTTCATGTTTTTTCTTTCTTTTCGTAAATTTCTTCCTATCTTCCTTTCTTTCTTTCCGTTAGAAGTCAGGCAAAGATACAGCTTTCATTTTTTTTTCTTTCTTTCTACTTTTCGTAAATATGCAAATATTTCCATTCTTTCTTTCTTTCTTTCTTTCTTTCTTTCTTTCTTTCTTTTTTTCTTTTAGTAGTTATACAAAGATGGTTAATTTTTTTTCGTTCGTTCTTTTAGAAATCATACAAAAATTTGTCTTTCATATTTTGTTTGTTTCTTTCTTTCTTCTTTTATTATATACTAACTTAAAAGCCGCCCTATCTTGCGGCATTTAAGCTATCTCCTGCGGATGGCTCTTAACTGGGTACGTACAATAATTATTTTCATTCCAATTCTAAATCATAATTTATGTTTTGGAAAGGTTTATCTGGGAATACATTCTAGGGGATATTGATTTTCTGTTGAATATTATCTTTATACTATGAATATCTATGTCGTCAGCATAGCACTGTCTTCATCAGAACATTGGCACAGGAAAGAAAAACAGGATGGTTACGTTATATTATCATACTATCTTAAAAGCCACCCTATCAGGAGGCATTTAAGTTAGCTCCTGCAGATGGCTCTTGACTGGGCCATTCGGCTTTTTCAGGAGTTTGAGACTCCCTAAGTCTTTGCATATTCTCAGCATTGGAAGCTCTCGTGGCTGCCGTTTGATCTGGGTTTTCATTTGCACTGAACTTTCTTTTCCTCGCTGAAACCTTGGCTCTTTTGATTGCAATCTAGTCCTCTGTTGACGGAGATTTCTTTTTGCGAAGCATACTGCTGAAGTATGCGATGAGCAACAATAAAATACAGAACTGAAAATTGATCGCTGCATTTAAGTATTGCATTAATATTTAAGCTTACCTTTTAAAAGTACAACGATAATTCTTCTACCGCCGCTTAATTTAAAGACAATTTGATGTACGTAGGTCCTTACTTTCCATACAATTATTTTTTATATCATGGGTGACTTTCGCTTGATTTCGCGATCAATTTCAATTATTCCCAAATTTATTTCCAAGTTATATAAAATGGTAGCGCACAAAAAAAAAAAAAATTCGCCGCAAAAAATCACGTAAAAAAAAAACTGCCGAAAACAATCGGAGTAATGAAAACTTGGGAATCCAAAATTTCAGAATTGCCGGTCTGGATCCGGCCCTGAATGTTTTTAATTTGCTCACAGATTCGACCTGATTCCAAAATGGTATTATATTGGCCCACAGCCTCTCGGAGCAAAGTTGAAAAAGTGTGACACACTGACATTCGCATTTATTTATCTGGATAGAATGATTTGTTTTCTTTCTTTCTTTTTTCATTTCTTTGAGTAGTCATTTTCTTTTTCTTTGTTATTTTTCTTTTACAAATCATGCGAAGACTTTTTTTCTTTCACTCGTCACGCAAATATTCTTTCTTTCTTTCTTTCTTGTTAAGGACTCGTAAAGCGTAATTGATGAGCCAAGTTCGAATGCTAGACAAGTGGGTTATGTTAACTTTCGTACAAATACCCTTGATAAAAATGCAACTCTATCACTCCTCCCTATGCCTATGGATTAAATACCTAGGCTGCGTGAGTACTTATGGCCTTAGATGGCAGTAAGTCTAGGATGGGGTCCCTCATTCTCTCTTGTACTAGACTCACCAATGCTGTTATGGCTACAGTACATATGGTATCCATGCTCTAATCAGTTATGAGACTAGAGACAAGGCATTTAAAGATTTTTTCTTTTAATATAGATGCAAGTTTCATTTGTATTCTATTTTTTCAGCCCACGTCTTTGATCTTATCTGTTTTATTCTGTTTTTTTTTTTTTTTTTTTTTTAAAGCATTTCACTCCAAGGAAGGCGGGAGTACCACTAGCACACAAGGGGGTTACAGAGAAGGGGAGCAAGAGTAAAGAGAGGTGTTTGAGGAAAGAATAAAGAGAAGGACGGGAATCAAGATCAACGAATCAGAAGATGTCAAGTGACATTAAATTTGAATATTTAAAGATTATAGTTATCAGGGAAGCAAGTAAGTGGAAGGGAGTTCCACTGTCGGGAAGTGCGAGTGAAGCAGCTGTTGGAGTAGAAGAGACGGCTACATTTAACCGTTTTGACAGGGAAACTAAATTGGCCATAAAGTCAGGATCATTTTTCTCCCAAGAATTCAATCATGATCCAAAATATTTTCAACACAGAATATAAATAAATTTAAGCCTTACGGACACATCACGGTAAAACAGCGGTCCCGTACGTTCACTAAAGTTAAGCAACATCGAGCCTGGTCAGTACGTAGATGATTGACTGCTTGGGAATACCATGTGCTGTAAGTTCAGAATTAATAATTGGTGATGCCTAATTCCATTTAGATTCGTTATATTCACGCAAATACCCTTGGGAAAGGTAGGAATGCATCTCGTCTCTCCTTAGCTATGGGTTAATTAGTAAGACATATCATTAAAATATTATTATAAAAAAAAAAATTTAAGCATATCACCCAAGCAAGGTGGGAGTGCAACTAGCATGCAAAAGGTTACAGAGAGTGAGAGTAAGAGAAGTGTTTGAGGAAAGGATAAAGAGGAGGACAGGGATGGAGATCAAAACATCAGAAGATGTCGAGTGACATTTGAATATTTGAAGATTATAGATATCAGGGAAGCAAGTAAGAGGAAGGGAGTTCCACTGTTGGGAAGTGTGAGGGAAGAATCTGTTGGAGAAGAAGAGGCGGTTACATTTAACTGTTTCGGCAGTGAAAGGGTGGGGCCGAGATACCAACCTAGTAGCACACTTAAATTCATGCAGTCGGAGTACCAGTGAAAATAGTTTGTCAGAGTAAAAGCCATGAAAATATTTGTAGAAAAGACAGAGGGAAGACACATCACGTCTCTGAAAAAGTGACTGCAGTCAAGATGCCAGGATAGGACCTATCACATTGCATATCCTCTTTGGATTTTGTTGATGAACGGAGTGGGGGCACCAGCTCATATATGGCAACAGTATTTAAGGATGACTGGTAGATTTGAAAGATGGACTCAGGCGGAAAAAAAAAACTTCTGGCGCGACAAAGAAAACCAACTTTCCTTGCGGTAGATGTAGCTATTGATTCAATACAGTTGTTCCACCTCAGTTCAGTGGAAAACGTGAGACCAAGAAGGCGTAGAGAGATGCTCTCGTGATGTTGAGCATCAGCCATGCTGATAGGAGGCAGAGAGGTTTTTCTATGGTGGGTAAACGAGAGCAGTTTTGTTTTGGAGGCATTCAAGTTTACAAACCATTTTCCTGTCCCAGTCATCCGCAGATTGGAGGTTCTGTTTCCTTCAATTTTCTAGTCTATATTCTTCCCATTTTCATTTTTTTTTTCAAAAAACATTTCCATCACATTTCCTTACGTTCACCATTCATCTATTTCTGTTTTAGTTCACTGTAGCTGTGCAAGATATTTTTTCTCATCTTGTTTATAAAACTATCATTCGGCCGAGCAGTGAATATTGCTGCCACATATAGCCTAGTGCTCTTCATATCTCATGAGTCTTGAAAAAAATGTTCATAAGAAGGGTCTGTAATATTATTCGTCCTGACCTGGTATCTTGGCTTCAGTCACTTTCCCGCCTCCGTAAGATGGCTTCCCTCTGTTTATTTCTATTTATAGAAATATTTTCATGTCAGTTGTTTCGATGTGGTTTCTTCCTTGGTACCTCGACTAGATGAATTTAAACGCAATATTAAATTGGCAAATACGCCTCATCGTTTTACTGTTGAAAAAGATGCAACCGTAAGTTCTATTCTAATAGTTTCCTTACTTGCACTCTGTGGTGGGGTATTTCTTGCTTCTCTGCTGCCTGCAATCTTAAAACAATAAATGTAATATCAGTTGCCAGTTTTTTTGAAATCTGTTCATTTGTAGTCTTTCTCCTCGCTTATTACTTTCCCGTTTTCTTTAACCCTCAGTAACCCTTTGTGTTTTAGTGGCACTATCGTCTTGCATGGGGAGAAACGGTTAAGACAATTCTTCTCTAATCTCATTTTTTTGTTGCTAAATGTGTTCAGCCTAATCCTGAAAGCTTTATACCACAAAAAATTCTTATGTTTGGAAATTTGATAAAATTTTGTCTAGTGCGCAAAAATTAATTAAAATGAAAACGCTTTTTTTTCTATGTATTCTGTAATTAGTTTATTTTTTTTTAAGGTGTGCTGTCAACTTTTTCATATATCTAATAATTTCATCAATTTCGCCTTCTCCTGTTTATTTCTTTTCAACTCTCGTTCTTCATTGTCGTCCATATCTTTTTCAATGGAGAATTTTCCCATAATTCCCTTCTCACGGTCTTGACAATAACAATAATTATTTATTTTATTCTTTTTTGGTAATTTTAGCTTTTGTGCGTTAAAACTATGGCGCATTTTCTGCAAATGATGCAAACAAAAACAATAATAACAAAAAAAAACGAAAAATAGTAAGGCCGTTTTCACGTTAAACAAGTCCTGTGTTATTTTGGGAATAGGTCGAAGGTCACTGATGACATATTTGACATGTCAGTTGACAGTTTGGTCTTATTGGACAGTTTAAGTGGGTGGTGGAAATTTAAAGAAGTTGAACAATATAAAGGGGTTAAATCTAGTGGAATATTTCAATTCAAGGACATATTTTGAGTTGTATTTTTCAATATTTGCATTCACAGCGCACTTGTCATAATAAGGTCTTCTTTAATAATAATAAAAAAAACATAATAAACCAATGTGCATGCCTGGAGCCATGTCAAAGGGTGTCAATGAGGGTAACAGTTATTTGCGTTGAAAACTTATTTATAGTAGAGCAATTTTTTTAAAAAAAAAAAAGTTCACTGTCCCATTTTCTTTGATACGTCCTGAAGACTTGTGGCATAGCAGTGACGAGACATTTTCTCAAGATATCTAACCATTAGGAAATAGTTCACAAAGTCGCTACATGCTTTTCTCAGGTGAACTGAGGCAAAATGAAAACCTGCCACAGTTTGAACCCGGATCGCTGACACCATTCAGTTTTAACTTAACTATTATGGCACCTTATATTTCCGAGGTTAAACATGTAAATTAAATATGAATTACATCTACACATACACATACGCATGCAAATTCATTCATATATATATATATATATATATATATATATATATATATATATATATATATATATATATACCTACGCCACAAACACACACGTGCACACAAACATACGCGGCAGCACAAATACACACACACACACATATATTATTTTCTCCATATCCATAGAAACTAATATTTCGCTTGAGGATGAGACAGAACTAGGTACTTTAATTTAATTTAATTTCTCTAATTGAAACATGGTAATTCGTATCTAGCGATGGAATCATATTTCTTATAAAAATAATTATATATATATATAATGAAATGGCCAAAGTCTGACAATTATTTTGAGACATTTTTATGTTTAACATTCTTTTTATAGATACAAATATTTAAGTAAATGCTCTGTTTATAATAAACAACATTTACCGGCCTGAATGTCCGGGAAATTTTCACAGAAAATATTCATCCTCTGACAGGATTCGAATCTGTAACCTATACGAAACGCGTCATTTAGCTTGACGTGCCTTTACCGATTTGGCCACGAAGGAGCGGTCGGTTAGCAGGACATTCAGGCCGGCAAATGTTGCTTAATACTGTTTATCTTAAACAGAGCATTTACTTTAATAATTGTATCTAGAAAAAGAATGTTAAACATAAAAATGTCTTAAAATAATTGTCGGACTTTGTCCATTTCACAATATGTGACGTCATTTGTTTATATTTGATACGGCATGAGCAGATATGAATGTACGTGAGATATTCATAGAAGATTGAAGTTTAAATACAGTAAATTCGACCTTGCTAACCAAACGCTCCTCTGTGGCCAAATCGGTTAAAGGCACGTCAAGCTAAATGACGGTTCCGTATAGGATACAGGTTCGAATTCTGTGGAGATTTCTGGGACATTCAGGTCGGTAAATGTTGTTTAATACTGTTTATTATAAACAGAGCATTGACTTAAATATTTGTATCTATAAAAAGAATGTTAAACATAAAATGTCTTATATATATATATATATATATATATATATATATATATATATGAGGGTAGGGACTAACTGTACGTTTCTGTACTAACCACACAAAAGTTTGTTACAGTTTAGCTAGCCTAAACATCAATTACAAGAAGACACAACGTCTGTTTCTTTGAAAAAGGTTCAGCCAAACATCCAAATTACAGAGTGATTTCCTAAGCATAGCTTAGATGTAGCAGAAGGCCGAAAGTATGGGATATCCAGTGAGGATCGACCTCACTACTCAGACGTAAATTGATCTAGCGAGACAAGCTTGCCAACCATTATATTAAGTCCAAGTGCCGAACATGTAAATTAAATATTGGAGATGCCAAAATCAAACAAATAGTACAGCACGGTCCTATTTTTTATTTTTTTTTAAACTTGTCAAAACTTGCACAATGCTTTTTAATCTAATATAAACTGGGGCTATGCCTGCTTTTTTGACTCGGGTAAAACTTGATCTTTGTCATTATTTTAAATCTAATATTAAACCAGGCTTATTTACACCCTTTTTATTCTACTTTAAACCGATCCTGTGTCAGAATTTTTTAGTATAATATAAACCAGACCTATACCTATCTTTTTTCACTCTGGTATAAAACAGGGCCTTTGTCAATATTTTGTTTTAATTTAGTATAATTTAATTTTGTTTTAATTTCGTATAATTTAATTTAATTTAGTATCTTCACCTTTTTGACTGTAGTGTTAACCAGTTTTCAACCTGACTATTCATTTATTCTTTCCACATGTCTTCAGCATTAACTTCCCCAAAAGAATTGTTGTTAAGTTAACGAGATTAAATTTCCATTAATTATTTTAAAAACTAAATAATAAAGTAAATCAATTAAGAACAATTAATTTCAAAATAAAATTGATATATGGTTAAATAAATCAACGTAACCATTCCATGTAGCGATGAAGGGAGACAAAATTTATTTTGGTTCCTTAAGTGAAAATAAAAGTTACATTATTTTTATTATTTTTTTTATATAATTATTCGACATTATTAAATGTTCACGTTCTTTTTTATCCATTGTCTTTGGTGGAATTTCAGGCAATCTCATGATTCCATACTTCCAGAATTTCTTTTCTCAGCAAAGAATGTTTATTCGCCTTCCCAGTAACAGAACTACTTTTTTCCTTTTTTTCTTTTAGAGAAAAAATTCTATAAAAATTGTAATAAATAAACTGACAAAACGTAATATATGTGGACTACAGCCCCTCTTACT